ATTAGTTAGCAGTTTCGATGGGAGAGCTGTGCCAAACATCCTTCGCCTTGTATTGGTAAATTGGGGGCATGCATCTAGTATATGTTTTACTGATGTCCTAGAGGACCTACAAAAGCAGCAGGATCCGTTTCCATTATTTAACAGGTAATCGTRCGTGATCTGYGTATGACCTARRCGAAGCCTTGTGAATAACAAAATGTCTGAATGTTTGGAGTTCGTGGGGTATATAGGCTTTGCTCTGGTAGGATTAATTGCCGCATAATGATGAACGTATTCATTCCATTTCAACAGGGACTTGTTATGTACGTACTGCTTTATTAGACGTGTTACAGTCACAGTTTTTCATGTCCCATTGCGAATGCTATTTTGTTGAAGTTTCCCATGTGTTCCCTGATTCTAGTCACTGCTACTTTAGGAAACTCGTCACAACTGTGACCAGTGATTTTGAAGTAGCAGTGACAAAATCACAGGTACCGAAATATTTGCCATCTCTTCAATACAGTGCAACCACTTTGTCTGTGCCCAACTGTAGCAGCAGCAACTTCATAATGCGGTGCCCCTTGGTGCATCGAAGAAAAAATGCAAAGAGGTGGTCAGTGTCATGCGGAGACTCGTTGCATGCAGGACATACATAGTGTATGTCAGTGTCTATTCTAGATAAGTAGGAGCTGGTTCTACGCACCGAATTTCATTCGACCAATTGCTGTTATTTTGGCGATCTAACCCCGTTTTGATCGGTGAGTGTTAATTTGTGTTTGCAAAGAGCTCTATCAACGTAGCCGCTGACTTGCACAATATGGCGTAGTTCATTGCTTCCTCCTAGTTGCCGTCGCCTTCAAACAACCCTATCGTCTTACATTTCTCCCGGAAAGTGTAGTGAGAGTGATAATAGCCAGTGTTGCAACTCGGCATCGCAGGTTTGTCTATGTAAAATACACGCACTCGCGTTTGGAAGGAGCACAGCAAGATTGGTCACTGTTGGTTGCCTTTCATGTAACGGTAAACCGAGTATTCTCCACGCCGTTTCATTACTACTTACAAATCGGCCGCACGATCGTAGCGTTACTTTGCCATCCTACTGGAAAATGGTATGTCCTTATATATTTATATTTATAACTATTATACAAATAGAACACAAAATATTAAAAATCACATGCTTCCGACAGCGTGTCTGCTGTTCGGATCAACGTCGTTTGTGATGTGCAGCCCCCCTAACTGAACACGCGTAGGTTTATGTTGAAATATAAACATATCTGCTGTATTCTTCAATATTGGTCAAAGAGTAATTTTAAGTATCGTTTTTAAATTGAAAAAGTTATGAAAAAAAAGCTCCTCATCCATTATCCGCGAATTCATTTTCATTGACTTTTCCATGAGCATAAGATATTTTCTCGCAATAAAACATATATATGTGTTAATCCAGGGTATCAGCTAACTCAGCCGTTTAGTCGTGAAGAAACTCTTTATCTGTCTCGATTAGTTTTAGATGTTATAAACTACAGTTAAATCTGGAGCAATATATTTCGAGAGTATCACAAAAGTTAATTTATGTTTCGATCCCCAATCAGCAATATTATATTTCCAGTTAATAAATTTCTTATCGTTATTTTTTAGAGTCCCAATTTTAATAACAATTTCTTTCCGCATGCAAAAAGCAGCTGCAAAAAAAGCTAAATATGTGCGTAACTACTTTACTATTTTATTAGAACTTATAATATATGTAACTGTAGCAGCTCGCCTGACATCACCATCGCTGGTGGTGGTTTAATAGCTGGTTGATGTCCTCGTAAAATGAAGACTGACATCAGTGCCGTCCATGTAGTGCGATGGATGTGCCATTTCCTTGTGGTATTTAATACAGCGACCTTATAAAGGAGTGCAAATTCGGTGTGGGATACGTGGCCAGAAATACTCAGTCGTCGAGTCTAGGCATTAACTACAGTAAATGAGCATCTAGCTACAATCCTCATCCGAATCAGAGCTAAATTTTTTAACAAAACACTGATTTGCGACCACGCTCCGAAGGTAGAAAAGGACCAAATATGCCTTTTTTAAGCGGCTGGAGCGCTCTAAGACAATCACCCCTGACATCATTTGTACAACAGTGTGAAAATTCAGCCCCCATAGCGAAACCAAATTGGGTGAGGTTGATCGACTTCGCAGAGGCCGAAGTATAGTTGTCTGCAGTACTAGATTCCTCCACAAGAAAATTCATATAGATGTGGTGACAGATCAAAGACTTGTCTCCGGTGTTCTAGATGAGCGTATGCACTGAAGACCTAACAGCGACTCTAACGACCATTCTGTTGTAGCGAAGATACGCGTCCGCCTCTATGCAGAAAAGCACGCCCGTTAAAAAACACAAGGAAGGTTTGACGTCAAAAAGCTATAATCGCAACCGTCATCTAAACGGTTTTCTACCCGACTTCCACTTATGCTCTCTGAGAGCACTCATGAGCAACTCAGTATTAGAGAATTGTGGAAAAAGTTCGAAAGAACTGCGGGTACGATAAGAACTGTCGTGTTGCAGTTGTGAGAAATGTGTAGTCAACCTCGAAATGTTGCAATCGACCACAACACTAACGGGATGGCTCGATAAAGAGAGTTGAAAAAGGAAACAAAACGAATATGCCAGAAAAGAAAAGGAATAGATTTTCATTGCTCGACCATGATGAAGCTCGAATAGCAATTACCCGCCTGAGAGGCAACAAAGTGACAAGGACCGATGAGTTACCGGCCGAGCTATTCAAATACGATGAAGGCATTTCCGACGCTTGCAACCTACGTTTGCTCTGCTCAATATACGAAAAGGGGAACCACACAATCTATACTATTTATTGGTACAAGCTTCTTAAATATCGCATATAAGGTTTTATCGAGCTGAAGCCCATCGTCAACAAACTGATTGGACCATATCAGTGTGACCTTAAACCTGGAAAATCTGCTATCGACCAGATTTTGATCATGCACCAAATCTTGGAAAAGATCTATAAAATAAGATCGAATAAAAAAGGAATTGCCACTATGTCTGAGCTTGATATCCCCGCAAAACTAATACGGCTATGTGAACTGACGTTGAGCAATACCAAATTTGTGGCTTGGCTCACACGTCACGTTGACAGTTATCTTTAAAGTCTTAGATAATTTCGCTTATCTTGGAACCCGTATTAACACCAACGACTATACCAACGCAGAATCACTGTTGCAGAGGTACTACATTGGACTTAGTACGGGATTTAAAAGTTAAGTTCTCTCTCGACAATTAAATACCAAATTCTACAAGTCCTCCATTCCGCAGCCGATGGAACAATGAACTGTATGAAATATACGGCGACATTGACACAGTTTCGCGTCTGCGCTAGCTAGGCCATGCTGTAAGGATAGATAATTAGTACGAAATAACGAAAAAAAGGTACGACTGACGCGCTGTTATTTACTCGGCTATAACCGCATAAGCGGTTTCTACGCCAGTAAAAAAGAAGAAGTAGTATATTGAACCTGCCACAACTACCAGAAAGTGTCTCTATAACCTCATACCCAGATGATTGTGCAATATTGACTTCGGGGCAATAGTACTATTCATAAAGTGTTCAAAAGAGATCCCCTATTTCCCTTAACTTTCTCGCTTCTTTATTGTTGAAAACCTACAACTTTCCATGCGCCAAATTCACGGCTACCCTTTTTTACAAACTGGGCGAAGGAGTACAGACTGAATCTCAACATTTCCGTCGATGGAGTGAGAATTCCAGCGATAAACTAACCTAAATATTATGAGTAACATTCGACACTCTGAACTCTTTCATTTCGCACTCAACCGCGAGTAAGTACAGAGCAGCAACCTCCTCAAGTCGCAAGCCGGTAGCACTTGGGGCAAAAACAAAGAGACGTTGTTGGCAACATAAAAGTTCCGGTTATAAACTACGCCTGAAAGTAAATGAAGAAGATACAAACTAGCCATAATCCACACTCCGACCAATAGCAGGATGTCTCTCTTTGAACAGCTATAAGGCCCGCATAACACTCTTCACTCCAAACTATTAATGCAGTCACTTGCTTAAAGAGGAACCGCCTTCGGAAACATTAGGAATCGACTTGCCCTAGTACAATGGCATTCTGGGTATTGTAGCAGATTAAACTCTTACTTATTTCCCGCATGCAATGAGTTCCCGCACGCTAATCATCACCCCTTAGCAAGCTCAATGAAACCCCCCTACAAATTGGACTTCGTGTCTCTCAGCATTGCATTCAGTATGATTATTCGTGTTTCTTGCCAAATGATATGCATGCATGAATATATATGTTCACCATAAAGCAATCTTTCTACTAAAATTGGCTTAACTTTTATTACGTGTATGGTTGAAATGGATCAACATATATATTATATTTAGAAAAGGAAAGTACACAGGTATTTTAAAGTTAACTTAGAAGGTAAGCCGGAATATTTTTTTTATGAATAGGAAAGATTACAGTAAAAGACATTCAGTAAAAATTAAGAAAACTTGAATCGTTCCAAAAATGCATGCATATGCATTTCTCAGCCGGATATGTACTCGTTCATATTCTATTAATTCTGTAATTCAAACGATTAAGAATGTCACAGTTACTTCGATAAATGTACCGAAAATATTTAAATATTTTTAGTATCACTAAAACGTATATTATAATAGCAATTCTCCATTACCAGGTTAACCAATTTTAAATTTTTTAATTTCATATAGTGGCAATAGATGAATTTGAAGCCGTTGATTCACGCTCATCATATTGTTTCGTTGATATATTATCAATTTTTGTACATACGTATGTATGTTTATATCTATATACAAATATTATTACAATACCATGTTCGCTGAGGTCATTTAAGAAATACCGTAATATAATTTTTGCGCATGTGCATGAAGTCACTCCCTTGCTTACATATATTTTGTATATTATTAAAGGATTTATTTTAGTTAGGATTAATAAAAAATCATAATTTTGGAACTCAAAAAAAATGTTCTTACCTTTGTAAAATTCAATGATTATTTCTCTACCTCACATTTATCCTATTTATATACTTAATATATTTAAAAATGTTTTCAACTTTTAGTATTTGTCAATTTTTACGAAGTATATGTCTTCTTCATAGCACATGATATCTATAAGAGTTAAAAATTTAACTGCGGGTCTATGTTTATTAGCAACTTTTGATTAATTAAAAAAAAAAGCAGCTCAGTATGAGATCTTTCGAAACATATTTTTTTTTTATTATAGACATCTGATTTTATTTATTACCACACGCAAAGGACTTAACGACAAAACTGTTATATCTAAAATGGCTAACAAAGTGTTTGCGCCGTAGTGAAAATAGAGTTGCCAACCATACTACATTAAAAAATTATTTGCAGAGTTCATTGCATATTTTGAGGATAAATATGGTTAAATAAATTATTGATGCAAATTTTCCATTTCAAGATAAACCTAAAACTTTTTAATATAAGTTTCTTGGAGTACAAATAATTCCACCTCAAAGTTGAAATTGTTAAAATGGTAATAAAAAATGGAGACAGAAATGGTCTAGGTAAACGTCTGTCACATTTTTTGTCTGCCCGTGTTAGCTATAATAAATATATATATAAAATTCCTTAACACAATTCCGTAAGCAAATTGTGCTGATCAATCGATGAATATATGTGAAATCTGTTAGCAAAGTACCCCAAAACACACATCAATACATAATACAAAGAGCGGTTCCAAGTAAACAGGACTTTAAAAAAAAACATAGAACAAATGGTTTTCTCGGCAAAATCTATTTATTTCATTCAAAATCTCGTTATTTATGTCCTCACCACCACTTTGAAAACGTTGAAACCACTCGTGCACTCTGCTACGGGATAGGCAATCATCGCCATAAACTTGTTCCATCAATTGAAACGTTTCGAAAGTTTTACACCCATAACACAAACATATAACGTCATGAAATTCCCACTGGACAATCGATAAAAATAGCAGATTCGAACGCACCAGACGACATGTAGATGGCGCCAGCATTGGGGTCCTACATTCAAAAAGTCCTTTTAGTTTGCAGCGTCAAAATTGACTTACACAAAAATCTTAACTCTAGCAAAGGAACCATTTACGCTCCTTGCTTAAATGACGTTCCTGACATAGAAATAGTTGAAAATCTGAAGGAACAGGGTGTGTCGTCCATCTACAAATTCCCCAAGTATGTAAATGATCAATCTGCTCCGAGCGTAGTGGTTCTTCTTACAAAACAAATCGACATCTCGTGGTACAAAACAAAAGTAAGACCTTACTATGCAATCCCATGAGGTGCAAAAACTGCCAAGTTCTTGGTCACACCAAAAAACGTTGTAATAAGCCCCCTGTATGTGACACATATGCTTTGCCACCCCACCCTCCGCCATGCACCCGTTCCTTTTGCGTAAATTGCTCAGGCAATCACTCATCTTCCAGTAAAGAATGTCCGAAATTTGAACAAATAAAAAAAATAAACACTATCCAAACAGACAACAAATGTTCCTATCGCGAAGCAGTAAACACACATGAACTCCACCAACTTTTACTTCTTCATCTCCCTCATTCTCTAACATATTAAACAACTCAACYAACAAAGACAACGACAATAAGAAGAAAACAACAACCCAACCTGAAATTCACACAGTTACTCCCTCTCTCAACTCAAATAATAACATACTGTTTTTACTCACTTATTTTGCTTCCACGACACTTGCTGCGATTGGGGGTCTCACCCGGGATTCTTTCACTGCACCGTTTTTTGGGGATATTTTCCCAAACTTGAAATTACTCCAATTAAACACCTTGACCACCTTTGATTTATTTTATTTGTAAAAAAAACACTTGTAATGTATTTAGTGAAATATCTGTTTTATTTTATTTGTAAAAGCACGTTGTCGTCAGCACTCGCTTCACTCTTACGGACCGCCGGAGAAAATGAGTTGTCGCTACGAACGGGAATCGATAAGAAAATAGGCCGTTGCTCGTTACTGTTGATCCTTTTAAAGGCTTCTGAGTGGTGAATACGCTGTATAACGGCATAACTGTATGATGCTGTTATGTGTTTTGTCTTCATGTGTGATGTATTCGTGTGTGGTGTCTTCATGTGTGGATCGTGTTGGTGTCGTGTATTATCGTCCAAGGACGTGTGTTGAGGAGGGAGCGGGAGGGGGGCGCTAACTCATCTAGCCATCCCGGCCCCCCTAGGCGAATATTAGCGTAGCAGTCGCTGTAGTTGCTGCAGTGTGGCAACAACACTGCTGAGGCCAGTGGGGCGGTGGTATGACGACCGAGGCTGTCGACGCCATGATGCCTCATTTCGCCTCGATATGGTTGGATCAGAGGCTATTAGCCTTCTTTGCCGACCCGGACGGCTAGTCTGCTGCGATCTGCCCGCGGAGCGTTGGCGCATGGCGGCCCGTTTTGGGGTGCGATGCAGCATAGTGTGGTGTGGCCGGTTGCACAGTTGGCAGAGGGTGACTGACGTACACTCCTGCGTGTTGTGTGTCGTCACCAACCAATTAAGGCAGTGTCCGTGAGCAAGAGAAACCTTCTGGCGTTGTAAGGGCTGCATGCCGCGGAAAATGCTGCAATGCTGTACCCGATGAGCGCGTCGACACAGGGTACATTGGCTGCACGGAGGCTCCGCGGCTGGTGTTGAGCAGGGTGGGAGTGGTCGCGTACCACTACGAGGAGCGGTTGCAGGAGGCCTAGCCGCTGGGCTTCGTGGCGCTGATGCTGCCCCAGGGCATGGCACAGTAATGGTAGACCTCACTGTTGGCGTTGGCACACTGGGCATATCCACATCCATATCGATCTGTATAAAGAAGTTATTATAATTACAAATTTGTTGCATGCAAATTTATATGACAATTGTGCCACGGTATGCGGCAAGAATGGGTCGTCAAGTAGATCGACCATTGCGGTTAGATTCGTTAGTAGTTTCGGTTAGGTTTTATTTGCGGGTTCATCGATTAATTATTTGATTTNGAATGGGTCGTCAAGTAGATCGACCATTGCGGTTAGATTCGTTAGTAGTTTCGGTTAGGTTTTATTTGCGGGTTCATCGATTAATTATTTGATTTTAATTTTGTTTGCGGGATTATCGATTAATTATTTGATTTTTAAATTTTGTTTGCGGGATTGTCGGTGGTCTTTTCATTATATGCGATTTCGTTACTATATGGTAGAAAACATAGTTTCACGAACGGTCTTGTTAATATACCGCTTTTAGTGCGCAGATCGACGACTCGTACATGACCGTCGGAACCGTAGTGTAGTTTTTCTATGCGGCTCAGCCGCCATTCGGTGGGGGGTAGGCAGTCATCATGGATGATGACACAATCTCCAAGCTTTGGCGCCTTTTCTGGACTCTTCCACCTGTACCTTTTATCAAGGTCCTTTATATATTCTTCCTTCCATCGGCGGCTGAAATTGTGATGGAGAATTTTTATTCTCTCCCATTGATTTAATAAGGATAGCGACCCCACGCCTGGCTCAGGTGTGGCCAGAATGGGTGCTCCTTTGAGAAAATGCCCTGGTGTTAGGGCTGTGAAGTCAGAGGGATCTTRCGAGAGGGTTGTGAGTGGCCGTGAATTGAGAACGGCTTCAATTCGCACTAACAGTGTGGTGAACAGTTCGTAGTTAAATTTGTAGTTTCCAGCTACTTTTTTGGAGTGGGATTTAAAGTTTTTACTGCTGATTCCCATTAACCACCCATATGAGGGGCGCCGGGGGGGATAAACTGCCAATTGATACCTTGGGCTGCGTATTTTTGGACAATGTCAGGTGAGACTTGTTTCATAAAATCTGTGGCTCTCTGAGTTCCGATAAATGTTTTACCATTATCGCTCATGATTTTGGATGAAAAGCCACGTCGTCCGACGAAGCGAGCAAATGCCGCGAGAAAAGCCTCCTTTGTCAGATTGGTACAGAGCTCAAGGTGTACTGCTTTTGTCGTAAAACAGACAAAGACAGCCACATAGCCTTTCATGAGGGTGGGAGACCTTAGCACGGACGCCTTTATTTGAAAAGGCCCAGCAAAGTCGACACCTGTGGCGGTGAAAGGCAGAGCGAAGTTGCAGCGTTCCGGTGGAAGTGCTGCCATAATCTGCGTTCTCATTTTCTGCTTGTGCATAGTGCAGACCTTGCACGTGAAAATGCACTTCTTGATTTGGGGCTTACGACGGGGAACATAGTACTCTTGGCGTACCATATGTTGCATGAGGCGATGTTCGGGGTGTAACATGAGTATATGGATATAATTGATGAATAATGTGGCAAATGAGGATTTCTCAGGTATTATAATGGGATGGCGTTCATTATACGTAAGGCTGGAATTAGCAAGCCGGCCGTTTGCACGAAGCATACCTTTCGTGTCTATAAATGGGTTTAGTACTGAGAGTGAGCTCTTTTTGTCACTTGGCTTCGATTCTCTTAGTAACCCCAGGTCGCGGCTAAAGTAGCGCGTTTGGGTTGATACGATAAGAGCGACCTTTGCTTTTTGTAAGTCTTGGTGCGTCAATATATCGCATTGGGGCAAGTTGCTCCCTTTGCCTTAAGTTTGACTCGCTCTGCGAATTTGAGAATATATGCGACTACTCTGAGTGCTCGGGGGAGCGATGAAAATCGCTCAAGGATGTCAGTGTCATCCAGTGTTGCATGATAAGTGTCGATTTTACGACTTTCTCGGGCAAGTATGTTACGCATGGGCGATTGTGGCCAAGAATCGGGAGATTCTGTTAACCATCGGGGGCCATTCCACCAGAGGGTGGAGGTGGCGAGATGAAGAGGTTAGCATCCTCTTGTGCCTAGATCAGCAGGATTGTCAGCACTGGCTACATGACGCCAAGTGGCTGATCCTACTAAATCAAGTATTTCAGATGTTCGATTAGAAATATAAGTTTTCCAAGCATGTGGTGGTTTTTCTAACCAGGCTAGAACTATCTCGGAATCGGACCATAAATATAATTTGTATTTCGCCATATTTAAGTGGGTCTGCACCATTGAAGCTAGCTTTGCTAGTAGCAGAGCGCCACAGAGTTCAAGTCGTGGGAGACTTAGYGTTTTTAGAGGCGCAACTTTTGCTTTTGCCGCTAATAAGTGGCTTTGTGTACGCACATGTATAGTGGCACAATATACCTTTTCAGGGGCGTCGCAGAAGCCGTGTAGTTCCACTTTGTATTCGGGGGAATAGTTTATCCACCGTGGAATTCGTATCTGCGAGATGTCGTTCAAATTATTAGCGAACTGGGACCATTTTTCTAAGCGAAGAGGTTTCATTTGTTCGTCC